CACACACACACACACACACACACACACACACACACACACACACACACCTACACTGAAATCACGGCGTGCATATGTCTGTGTTCTGTGTCAACACAGAAAGAGAAAAAGCGCTTGGGGGTTCGTAAACATCCCACTCCACTGATCTGTGACGCATCGCACACACACACACACACACATACACACACACACACATTAATCCTTATATCTTTGTGAGGACACGTATACACATAATGAACCCCTTAACTCCTCATTCTGAACATAACCTCAACTTAATTCTGACCTCACAGGCGTACAGTGAAGCCCGATTAGTGGATTAGAAACGTATGTTAAGCCCAAAGTTTTTAGAGTCACAAAAGTGTCTCTCTTTAAACCTGACTAAATCACCATGGTAACCTGGGCAGAAGCATTCCCTGCTCAACAGCAGTTTTTGCTCGGGTCAAATAAACATCTTAATTCTCCAACCTTTCACCGATTCTTTTCCAGATAAAAAGCCAAACAGAAAAACCGGCATAGCTTTTGAACACATGATGATTTCTGACATTTATCAACACTCAAAGCTCCTGATTGGCACTGAATGAATGCTGGACTGTCAAATAACTGACGGGGAACAGTCTGAGTTTGAACAGCTTGCTTTACTAAAAGACAAAAATACTCTGTTTAAACAGTGTAGCTCAGTTCAGTCATGTTTATCTGTCCTAAAATATCAATGATCTTGCTGCTGTGTTAATTGTTATCAAAGTTATGCTATTTGAATTTCCTTCAGGATTAATCGAGCGTCTATCTATTGTTGTGTGGCAATAAAATGAATCAGAAACCAGCAGAGCGGAAGGTGCTGTAGACATTTTCAGAGGTCTTTTTCTGTGGGTAGATGTGTTGTTTTTGTGTCTTAGCGACAGTTTAGCACCTTGCTAACAGCTAACACAGGTGAACTTCCTCAGTTCAACACCTCAAACTCACAATCAACAGTTCAACATCTGGCCTCCTCCTCTGCTGCTACCTCCCCGTGTGGAGGCTCGGTCTGCCTTCAGGCCGAGCAGAAAGCTCTGCCGGTCCCCACTGGTTATCAGCTTTCACGTTGCCATGGTCACGCATCATAACAGATGTAAGAAATATCCAGAGTTCCCAAAAGAATTCCTTCCAGACGCACGGCATCCAGACAGCACAGAATATTGTTTAATAAAAAATCTGTTTTCACAGAAGATGAAATAAAGAAATACACAGAAATGAACGTAATCTGTTGGGCGTTTAGTTTAAAGACAGTTCAGACTTGACAGGTCATTATAGTTTAGCTGCCTTTCAGTTTCTGTGGTTTGTTTTACATAAAATGGTAAATAAAACTGCATTATGCGTCATACCTGTAGTTAACCTTTTTGAATTAATAACTCAGATGTATCAACATCCTGTAAACATACTGATTTAAAATTTGAATCTACTTATAGACAATCATATCCTAAAACTAAATATAACCAGAGCCTTACCTTAATCCAACCAGGACTTCATTTCTTAACAATTTACCTTGTTAGAATGTACTTTATGTCTTTACAAGAAGCTGAATCTTTATAATATGACTGTCTGAAGGAATCTGTTTCTTTACACCAGGAAAATTACACACACAGACTCAGTAAGACACATGCTGAATGCATCCAGCCAACACAAATGAAAGGCTGAGAGTCTGTCCTGCGTGTAGACCAGCACACACAAACACGTGCTCTGAAAAATGAGTGTGTGGTGATTCATTGCTGAAAAGAGGATAATGTGCTCAGTATAGCTGGACGCATGCGGCTATCTGCAGCTGTATTTGATTCTCTGTTTACTGATCCTGTGTAGGAGGAGCCCTCATGAATGATCTTTTCAATAGGGACACCTGCTTCAGGTGAGAGAGGGCACAATTCCCCACACTGAGACACAGAAAACAGTTAAAGCACCTACACAACAACCTAAAATACAAGCTAAAGTCCAGCATTCACATGTTATTAGTGGTTATAAACTGCAGTTTCATGTAGTTTCAGACTGTTTGGTACATAATGGTTTGCAAAATGCATCATTTAATAAACTGGGAAGACGGTGTTGTCATTCATTTTAAATTAATTATGACAAGAAAATAAATCACCTTTTAAATATGAATGTAGCTCATACAGAGGAGTCAACAGCACATTTCAGTTATCAATTTCATGTGAACATACTACCCAATCCAAGGACAAAATTAAATCAACAAAAAAAAAAATCTATTTCTGTTTATTTCTGTTATCATCTGGATAACCTTTTCCATACACTTTGAACAGATGTCTCCAAACCTTCTACTGTTAGTATCTATGAATAGGTTTATTTTAATAGAAATATATAAATAAATAGAGTATCTTGAATATTCAGTAGTTACATGCTTTTTTATAATACTTTTAATCGAGGAAGTGTCAATATAGGAAGAGAAAACGAGTGTAAACATTACCAAGGCTTAAACTGTGACCTCCGACCCCGCAGCGTCCAGTCCCGTTAACCCCGCCCCTCTGCAGAGAGAACGGGAGCTCCATTCAAACGCACCAAACTCCGCGCCCCGGGATGCGACAGTTGCAGTAGAAGAGCAGAAAGGCGGCCACGGCAACAGCAGTAGAACCAGAAACACGCCATTTACCTAAAAAAACCCGCACACCCAGAGGCACAGCCGGGGACGCAGGCACTCAGCGGCACAAACCCTCACTGAGCGCAGTTAGCAGGCGGCTAACGGCTAACGGCTAACGGCACCGACATGGCGAGCGCCTCGTACCACATCTCCAACCTGCTGGAGAAAATGACCTCCAGCGACAAAGATTTCAGGTAAAATGATCATCACCGAGGAGAACTAATTGCACGGTTTTTGGATTGTCTCAATTTATTTGCGCTGGGTGTCACACACATCCTACACTCAGGAAGGCCTCAGGCTGCGGGGCTAACGGCTAGCCTGCCACCTGTCTGATCACTAGCACATAGCTAGCCCGGCAGTTAGCTTACAGCATCGGTATTTGCCTGATTTAACGGCGTTATAGTTGTTATTAGCAGTTAGTTGGAGAGATAACCGGCTGCAGGAGACTTTGTCAGGCTGTCGAAATGCGGGCGAGCTGTCGTCAGTTTACAGCTAGCCTGACTGCTAACAGGTTAGCCCCAACTTCTGTCATCCCGCAAGCTAGCATGATGTCAGCTACCGCCTGCGTGAAGGGTGTCTGAGCCGGGCTGGAGTCCCTTCTGCCGGGCACACAACCAGGCGAGAAGCCGGTAGCTTTACGGGCTTTTGGGCGGACAGGCATGGTGTCACGGTCCTCGGGAGTAATGTTTAACCACTGAGCAGTTGTCAGTGCCAACACCTTGAATATTTAGCTCTGTACTAACTGTCACTGTGCATAAATTGTAATCTTTTTGCGCCCTGACTTTAAGCGTTAAGCACTTCACTTTTAGTCACCCATGCATTTTGGATGTTACTTACAAAGACAGAAACTTCATCACACTCCACTTTGGGGGAGATTAGTGGCAGCCTGCTGCTCCAGCTCTGGACCTATTGTGGGTTTCTTTGCATCAAACACTGAGTTATTGAACAGTGTTGGGTCTTGTTTGGAAGCTGCCCTGCGGGAATAAATCCTTTTAGTAATTGTGAAACATTTTTGCACATGTGAGCGTTCTCTCCAAAGGGATTCTGGGAGTTGGATCCTATATCCAGATGAGATGAAGACAAGACGACTATAACGGACAATAATATTAGATAAACTGAGATAATTCTCCTTTTGTTAGCTGCCAGAGCTCTGTGTGACATCATCAGCTAAGTAGGAGCCAAACTGGACAAACATCCCAAAAGTTGAACTGAGAAGAAGTGTGTCACAATTCTCTGTGGTTCGCTTCAACTTTCTAAATGTTTCTCATCTTTCATTCATTTTTCATTCTCTTCATCTTATTCTTTACCCTTGACTTGAGCAATATCAGTAAATTAATATAGCATCATCATCATCATTAATATAGAATCATAGCTTCTCTTTGGGGACTGATATGCTTTTATTTAAATTATTTTAATGAATACAAAATAGATTTGTCTGATGGTGTATGGACTCAAACAGCCTACAGGACTTTATCTAAGTTTATCTCGGGGAAGCGGCCCCTGCTCTGATCAGAGTTGAGTTTGTAATGATGATCTAATACTTCTTTGTTCAGCCAACTCATTTTTATATAAAGAAAAACTTTTCTTACAATATTAACCCCTAGAAGACTGAATGCTGACTGACATCATTGCTGTTTTGACATGGTAGTGTTTCTAACAGATTCAAGGAAAGATTATTAGTTACATTTAAAACTTTAACTCACTTTTAAAGTCTTTTTTAAAACACAACAAAAACTCTCCAGCTGTGCCTTATCTTTCTCATAGTCGAAGTGATTAGTGAAAGTAAATATTGTAGATATGGGGGTTAGCTTTGGACTGACCTCGGTGAGTCCATGTTGTGTCTGCAGGCTCTGCTTTAGGTGGATTTGGTCATTTCTAAATAAACATACATTTTGAGGGACTCATATCAAGTCATACTTCAATCTGGTATAGATGTATTCTATTTTTGTGTGTGCGTTAAATTCTCACATTTCAGCCAACATCAGGATGTGAAACTATTTCTCACCTTTTTGGTCTTTTTTTTTAGCAAGTTAGCGTTTTTATGAAGATACAACTACTTGAAATAAGCTGATTGAATGTGGCAGCCTTGTGTGTTAGTCTTTTAGAGCTACTCGGCCCTTTAAGTGAAGTTCAGTGTTCATTACTTAGTGCTTTCTGACTTCAAAATGTAAATTTGTTGCACAGAATTGGTCATTATCTTGTCACATGGGATTTTGGCTGATTGTTTACTGTTTTGTACACACGTTGTTGTAATGTTGGGGTCTGGTCCGCTTAAGGACAGCCTTAACAACATGGGCTCTGGACCTTTGATCTGCACATTTCCAGACATCTTCCAGTTCACATCTTACGTTCTCGGCTTTGCAGCTCAGAGTTTTTTCTTTATGAGGACTTAACTTGTTTTTTACCTTTTTACGCCAGCTTTGTGGTTTCTTTAACATGTCCACAAATTGATGTGTACAGCTTTGCATGTGCAGGATTTTTTTTACAGTGGCGTTACAGTGGGGGGAGCCAAAGAGCCCAAAAAGTCCCTCAGTCAGGTCTGAGAGTTGTCCCCAACGCTGGGTAACCAACAGGCCGCTCTCTGTTCTCTGATGTGGTTTCTCCAGATGCTTCTTTTCTGCCTCTTCTCCTGCTCACGGGACCTTCTTGCCTCCTTTAACCTTTCCACCAGAGGAGCATGGGCAGTTAGAGGTCTGGTTGTGTCATGATCTTCCTTCTGCTAACGTCTAAGGCAGCAGCCTGTGTTCAGACTGAACAGGAGAAAAAGAAACCAGCAGTTTTGTGTAAAAATAAGCTGAAGGCCACAGTCAGGTGCCTGAGTTAATCTCTAAACCCAACCTTAGTGCAGTCCTGATTTATTTGACGTAAGTGACAGCTTCCTTACATAGATAGAAAATACCCCTCAGTTTAGTTGACATTCGGTGTTCCTTTGTAAGCTGGCAGCTGTTCTGTTTTTATAAAGCGAACCTGGCCCGTAAAGCTGCTCCAGCTTTGATCATTTTCGAGTCAAACCGCAGAAACTGAGAGGCTGTTTTCATCCGAAAGGGAATCCTCGCAGCCTTTGTGGCGTCTGTGTGCCAGAGCTAACAGATCTGGGATCAGTTTCACCCCGCACTGAGGAGCATTGATCAGCAGGTTCAGTCTCCAGGTTCTGTTTCCTGCTGCTTTCCGTCTATGAAATCTTAGTCGATGTTTTAATTGGTTATTGGGGGTGTTTTGACGTGCTCCTGTCACCGGTGATGATTGTTTGGGACCCCGGCGTGTCTGGTGTTGTCTTGTTGGCGTGTTTTGAAGGCAGAGCCCAGAGGCTCCCGGGAGCTTGTGGAGCGGCCTGAGGACGGTGGCAGCTAAAGTTGGCAGCACAAATCATCACTTCTTCTCCTCTGACAGCAGCCCTCTCACTCCCAGAAAGCCGACAAATTGTGTGGCTGCCGTTGAAATTTCCTCCGACCCCGAATGATCCGAGCTGAAGAGTCATTTCAGAGCTGATGGGAAGGCTTAAAAACGGAGTCACTTTCTGCAGGAGACGGGGCTCTCTGCCGGAGCTCACAGCAGATTTGCTTAAAGCGTGACCGTTATCTGTCAAAGATATGTAAACTGCTTGTCATATATGCTGGATGTGCTCGGGAGGAAAACATGCTTATCTCATTTGGCATTAAAGGATTTGGCTCTGTAGCAGAAATTGCTCCAGTGAAGAAGTTAATAAAAGTCTGAAAAAGCTTTTTTTTTTTGCCATCTGGAAGATTATTTTGACCAGCTTCCAGGGCAGGCTGAACAGATGCATCTCCTTATTATTATTCCCTTTATTTTACATTTTCCTTTGGACCTATGGATGAACTCACATCAAACAAAGGTCTTTGGAAACCTCTTCATATTTTTTCTCTTTGAAAATCTGAGAAGCTAAAAGATGTCTGAGCTTCTAGCTGTTTAAGGTCACTGATGTGAGACTTCATGAACAAAGCGTCTTCCAGTCTGATCCCTATCAGGTTACGGTTTGGTTCTGATTTAAAAATGAGTATTTTTCCCAACTAGTGTCTTCTTGGTGCTTTCAGGATTTGCTCTCAGCCAAAATAAAACTGTATTTGGACACAAAGTCTTGGAAGGAGGTGAGGGCTGGATCAGGATTGAAGAAGAGGACTGTGATGGCACATTGCTTTGCTTTGGGGTCTTTAAGTATTGCCTCATATTTAATCAGCACTGTGACCTCCTGTTATATATTCAGGAATATTTGTCTTCTTCCCTGTGAATGAAAGCGTTTCCATCACAACGCTGCTCATTCAGGTGCAGATCTAGAAGCTGATCTTCACTTTCAGCCATTAGGATCTGAGTTCTGCTCTATGTGCAGAATATCTGGGCAAAAACAGGCTTGTCTGGCTCTGCTTTGACAGTTTTCCCACAGAAAGAACTGCTCGGCCTTATTCCTGATGTGTCATGTGGGCTGTGCCACATTCAGGGGTTCAGTCTGGGGATTTAAGCTGGTGATCCAGCTGTTTACAGGGAGCACCGGCCAGTGGTGGAAAAGGGCCGGAGATCACCACAGAGAAGTTCAGCAAGTTCTCTGCAAGCTGGAAACCCCCCCAAAATAAACTTCCAGTTATTAGATTTGGATCCAAACTGCCTCCCATCAGATATCAGGTCAACTCCAAATGCATTAAAGCTTTTTTTTCTGATTGTCTGTGCTTTAGGTTTATGGCCACAAACGACCTGATGACAGAGCTGCAGAAAGACTCGATCAAACTGGACGACGACAGCGAGAGGAAGGTGGGTGCAGAGTAGACCCCTCACTGACCCCCCCCCCCCATCCCCCCGTCATGTCTGAGTGACGGCTGTTTGTTGGTTTACAGGTGGTGAGGATGATCCTCAAACTGTTGGAAGACAAGAACGGAGAGGTTCAGAACTTGGCCGTTAAATGGTGAGAGCACAACCAACACCTGTGTTCCAACATCTGCCTGGAAGCTTTCTAACCGGGGGTGTCCTTGTTTCGACAGCCTGGGCCCGCTGGTCAGTAAGGTGAAGGAGTACCAGGTGGAGACCATCGTGGACACGCTGTGCACCAACATGCTGTCGGACAAAGAACAGCTCAGAGACATTTCTTCCATCGGACTCAAAACTGTGATCGGAGAGTTGCCTCCTGCCTCCAGTGGTACGGATGTGAAACAGATGAGCTGAGATATAACCTGTGGTGTTAATCCTGATGTTGCTCCTGACTGCACGGCAAACAGGAACTGAACATATTTACGCTTTAAAAACATTGAAAAGGTCAACATATGGCAGTGCTTCTTGATCCCGGCCTATCAGAGCATGTGTTAAAGTTTAAAGTTATTAATCTACTTACTTAGCTGTCAGACTCATGTTGAACAGGAATTTACTCTGATAACAACTTAATGGTTAGGACACAGACCTGTGGGTCACAGATGCTAATGCTAATGCTCATGTGGGATCGGATTATAAAAAAAAAAAACTGGATCTGGAGTCTGGATCTGCATTTTCTCCTGCCGGCCGATCGGATCCAGATATCTGATCGGGACCAGCCTAAACACAATGTCTGTCTCTCAGGTTCAGCTTTAGCCGCCAGCGTTTGTAAGAAGATCACAGGTCGATTGACGAGCGCCATCGCCAAGCAGGAAGACGTGTCCGTGCAGCTGGAGGCGCTGGACATCATGGCCGACATGCTGTGCAGGTACAGTCATCCTTTCTGGGAAGAAGCTTCAATGTAAACGTGGGATGTTTCAACATGTGGAGCCACCAGGGGGCGCCAAGGCTCCATCTCTGCTCTGGTTTGAAGCCGTAACTGCTCCGGCCTCTACTTTAAAAACACAGACAAAACCACTTAAAGTTCATTTTGGTATTATTAGTAATTGCTTGTGTAAAATGAATGAAAGAATATGAAAGAAACTTGAAGATTCATGGGAGATCTGGGGACGACAAAATATTTCTCCCTTAATTATCAGATGCCTGGAACAGTTTATTGGTGCTCTTTGTGGTCACCAAAATTTAGCACATTACACATATTTCGCTCATAAAAATAATTTATTTTAAACTTCTTAACCTCTCTCCTCATTTTTGCTGAATCGATTGAAATATTTGTCTGTAATGCCACACATAGATGACTATGTTTCTAATCCTTTGCTCCAGATGGACTTAAACCATGAGCTCAGCATAAAGTTCTCTGCTTATGCGGAAGTTTACAATCTTTTTATTGGTGTTTTATCTCACCTGTAGCTTTTACTTTCAGATTTCCTATTCATTTAGCTCTAAACTAAACAATCAGATTGATTTGTGCTCGGTGAACATGAACTAATCCAGCTAATGACTGTGTCTTTTTGCAGACAGGGCGGTCTGCTGGTAAATTTCCATCCCTCCATCCTCAGCTGTCTGCTCCCCCAGCTCACCTCCCCCAGACTGGCTGTCAGAAAGGTGCCTTCAACCAACCCCCCCCCACCTCCCAGCAGCCTCTGGCTGCAGCCTGCAGGAGCCTCGGTTGGATATCCAACTCCTCCCACATCCAAGTTGGCCATTATGATTAGGTCATGTGACTAGCAGCTTTCTCAGGTGGAAACGAAACTTTACTGTCTATATGAAATCAGAAGACAAACGATGTCCTAACCCTAACGCTGACCCTAACCCTAACCCTAAACCTAACCCTCCACCCTTCATAATTGTGAGAGATAACTATTTTTTGGTGAAACTTGTTTGGACTTATTGTACAAACCTATTTAACATCCACTATTTTAACATAACATTATGTATAAAGTTTAATTCAGTGTTTGCAAGATTAATTGCACTATTTTAAATTAATGTCTATATTGCCATGAAGCAATTAGGATTTTCTTTTCCTGGGATCTTCTTGTTGGTGACCTAATCAAAATGGCCGACTTGGATGTGGGTGGATTTGCATCCCCCTCCCGCGCTCCCCACTGTCGGCCCAAAGGGGGGCCCCCCCCCCCCCCCACCCCACCTGCATGTTTACATTTCAGATGCTTTATTTTCTACTCAACGTTTTTGACCGTTTCAGAGGACCATCATGGCTCTGGGCCACCTGGTGATGTCCTGTGGGAACCTGGTCTTCATTGACCTGATAGAGCACCTCCTGACCGAGCTCGGCAGAAACGACAACATGTCCACCACCAGGACGTACATCCAGTGCACGGCGGCCATCAGCAGACAGGCTGGACACAGGATCGGTGAGTGGGAGGCGACCAAGCAGAAAGATGAGCCCAGGTCTGGCCCAGTCCAGGTCTGGTCCAGCCCAGGTCTGGCTGATCGGAGGTCTGGCTGCTCATCACCACTTCTTGTGTGTCTGCTCAGGAGAGTACCTGGAGAAGATCATCCCTCTGGTGGTTAAGTTCTGCAACGTGGACGATGACGAGCTCAGGGAGTACTGCATCCAGGCCTTCGAGTCCTTCGTCAGGAGGTAAAAGCGTGAGCAGTGAAGGCTCCTGGTGCCTCACAACCCCATGCCTCTTTTTTTCTCAAACCTGCTTATTAAATCCTTTCCCTCTGGGATTATTAAAGTATTCCTGATTCTGATTATTCCTAGATGTCCGAAAGAGGTTTACCCGCACGTTCCCACGGTCATCTCCATCTGCCTGCGCTACCTGACCTACGACCCCAATTACAACTTTGACGACGAAGACGAGGACGACAACGCCATGGACGCCGAGCAGAATGATGAAGACTACCAAGGTACTGAGGCAGATTGAAAGTATAACAGCAGGACTCCCCCACTGGCATGTTCAGTATTAAGCCCCGCCCCCCTCTTTAGGGACTCCTCTGCTCACTTAGAACAGTTATGCTGAAGTTTTAAAATATTTTTATTGGTGTTTTATCTCACCTGTAGCTTGTAAGGCGTCAGATTTCCTATGAATTTAGCTCTAAACTAAACAATCAGATTGATCTGTGTTAGAATTGTCACGATACTAAAATTTTCAGCTCGATACCGATACTCAAGAAAACATTCAATACTCGAGTCGATACCATTTTCGATACCGCAAGGATAAAAACAAAGACCCCAAAATTGAACTGAATTTCGACAGGTTAGTGTCTTTTGTTTCAAACTTACTGATTATTACTGATGTTATGGTGGCCGGTGGCCCGCATTAATGTTGGCGTGTTATTGTTAGCCTTAATTAGCAATTCAAGGAAGGCTAACGTCACGTTAATGATCATAAACAACGTAAATAAATAAATAAATCGGAGAGAAGGGGCGCAGCATTGGTAGGTCAGCGTTACGGGGGGGGGTATTGATACGTTTTAAAATGAGTATCGTATCCGAATACAACGTTATGGTATTTATACTTTTTTGACTATCAATACTTTTAAAGATGAGTATTGTATCTGAATACAACGTTTTGGTATCAATACTTTATAAAATAAGTATCGTATCCGGATACAACGTTATGGTATAAATACTTTTAAAAATGAGTATTTTATCCAGATACAACGTTATGGTATCAATACTTGTAAAAATTAGTATTTTATCCGGATACAACCTTTATGGTATCAATACTTTTAAAAATTTGTATTTTATCCGGATACAACGTTATGGTATCAGTACTTTTTTGAGTACTGATACTTTTGACAACCCTAATCTGTGTTCAGTGAACATGAACTAATCCATCTAATGAATGTACTGTCCCCCCCCTCCCCCAAACTGTGCGTCCAGGCAGTGACGACGAGTACAGCGATGATGACGACATGAGCTGGAAGGTCCGCCGGGCGGCGGCCAAGTGTCTGGACGCGGTGGTGTCCACTCGCCACGAGATGCTGCCGGAGTTTTACCGCTCTGTGTCGCCCGCGCTCGTCTGCCGCTTCAAGGTAGCCCCCCCCCTCTCCCCCTGTCCGTCCGTCTGTTTCCGGAGGCCCCCGGAGCCTGACGGCCCCCCCTGTGTGCAGGAGAGGGAGGAGAACGTGAAGGCGGATGTGTTCCACGCCTACCTGTCGCTGCTCAAACAGACCAGACCGGCCCAGAGCTGGTTAGCTGACCCGGACGCCATGGAGCAGGGGGAGACGCCGCTCACCATGCTGCAGAGCCAGGTGGGCCTCACCCTCACACCGGGGGAGCTTCCTGTTTGTAGTTTTAGCTTTAGTTACTTTATCTGCTGCTGTCAAATTATAATTTTTTTTAAATTGGTTTCACAGCTGGTCATTTGAATCTTTTCATGACACAAGAATTACAGAAATACATTTGACCCTTTTCAAAGAATGTTTTTTTTTTTTTTCTGTTAATAAATGATCGTATTTAAAAGGTTCACAGGGCTAGGGATGTCCCGATCCAGCTTTTCTCACTTCCAATCCGACCCCGGCCTATCAGAGCATATGTTAAAGTTTAAAGTTATTTATCTACTTACTTAGTTGTCAGACTCATGTTGAACAGGGATTTACTCTGATAACAACTTAATGGTTAGGACACAGACCTGTGGGTTAGGAGATGCTAATGCTCATGTGGGATCGGACTTAAACAAAAAACTTGATCTGGAGTCTGGAACTGCATTTTCTCCTGTCGGCTTATTTGCAATTTTTTGCAAGTATCGGCTGCCGATCCGATCCAGATATTGGATCGGGACCAGCCTACATAGGGCCCCCAGATCTCTGAAGGCTGGTAGAATATAGAGCTGTACCTGGAAGATAGTTGTGGCTTTAACTGGATAGTGGACAGTGCCTGTAGTTCCCTTTGTGGGCTGCAGGTGTCACTGTCGCTCATTTGATAAAGCGGTTGGTTGGTCTCTCTGTTCCCACGGTGACAGGAAACCCTGAGCATCCCACACCGGCGACCACGACGGTGACAGGAAGTAGATTCAGTGATTTCTCCTCTCATCGATCTTTTGTTTGTGTCTCCTGTCCCCTCAGGTGCCCATGATAGTGAAAGCCCTTCACAAGCAGCTGAAGGAGAAGAGTGTGAAAACCCGCCAGTGTTGTTTTAACATGCTGACCGAGCTGGTCAACGTCCTCCCGGGAGCCCTGACCCAGCACATCCCAGTTCTAATACCAGGTAGAACCAGCGATAATCCCAGAGTCCTTTTAAAAACATCAGTGGACTCAACATGAGTGGGAAGCTCAAACAATTGATTTCCCTTTTCTCCTTTTGTCTTCCAGGTATCATCTTCTCTCTCAACGATAAGTCCAGCAGCTCCAACCTGAAAATCGACGCCCTCGCCTGCCTCCACGTCATCATGGTCACGCACCCGGCCCACGCCTTCCACCCCCACGTCCCTGCTCTGGTCCCGCCCGTGGTGGCGTGCGTGGGGGACCCCTTTTACAAGATCACATCTGAGGCACTGCTAGTCACCCAGCAGCTGGTTAAGGTGGGACCTGATTGGTTGTAGTCGCTGTATATCAGCAAATCGGCTGATATTTATTTATCCATCTTTGTTCTCCAGGTGATCCGACCGCTGGATAGCCAATCAGAGGCCTCGGACAGCTTTGACCCCTCCCCCTACATAAGCGACCTGTTCACGTGTACGATCAAGCGCCTGAAGGCCGCCGACATCGATCAAGAGGTCAAAGAACGAGCCATTTCCTGCATGGGGCAGATCATCTGTAACCTAGGTAACTGCCGCCCCTCAGTCGCCGGAGATGATGTCATCGGCGCAGGTTTTCTGTTGACCCCCTGGTGTGGGTTTTCGCAGGTGACCGCCTGCCCACCGAGCTTCCGGGCACGCTGCTGATCTTCCTGGAACGCCTCAAGAATGAGATCACCCGGCTGACCACCGTCAAAGGTAAGCCCCGCCCCCTCGCCCCGCTCAGGGAGGCGTGGCGCGGCGTGCTGCCAGCAGGTGTAACGGTGCGATCCGTCCACAGCGCTTACGCTGATCGCCGGCTCTCCGCTGAAGATCGACCTGAGGCCGGTTCTGCCCGACGCCGTTCCCATCCTCGCCTCCTTCCTCCGGAAGAACCAGCGAGCCCTGAAGCTCTGCACGCTGGCCGCTCTGGACATCCTGCTGAGAAACTACAGGTAACGCCCCCCGCCATTAGCTCTGCCCCCCCGCTAGGGATGTCCCGATCCAGATTTTTGCACTTCCAATCCGGCCTATCAGAGCATGTGTGTTTCACAGCTGGTCATTTGAATCTTTTTATGACATGAGAATTACGGAAATGGGGGCTTTCGAAGAATGTTATTGTTTTTTTTCTGTTAATAAACGATCATATTTAAAAAGGTTCACTGGGCTATGGATGTCCCAATCCAGCTTTTTGCAACTCCGATCTGATACCGATCCCGGCCTATCAGAGCATGTGTTAAAGTCTAAAGTTATTTATCGACTTACTTAGTTGTCAGACTCAGGGATTTACTCTGATAACAACTTAATGGTTAGGACACAGACCTGTGGGTTACAGATGCTAATGCTAATGCTCGTGTGGGATCGAACTTTAAAAATAAACTGTATCTGGAGTCTGGATCTGGATTTTCTCCTGCCGGCCGATACGCATTTTTTTGCAAATATCGGCTTCCGATCGGATCCAGATATCGAATCTGGACCAGCCTACCCCCCGCCCCCCCGACTCAGTCTCTCTGTGCCCCCAGCTCGGCGGTGACCCCGGTCATGGTGGACGCCGTCCTGGCCGAGCTGCCGCCGCTCATCTCTGAGAGCGACATGCACGTGTCCCAGATGGCGCTGAGCTTCCTGTCCACGCTGGCCGTCACCCACCCGTCCTCCCTCAGTCAGCTGAGCGGGGGGAGTGGGGGCAACATCCTCCAGCAGCTCATCGCGCTGGTCCGCTCCCCGCTGCTGCAGGGGGGGGCGCTCGCCGCCATGCTGGACTTCTACAAGGTACCCCCGAATGTCCCCCTCTCTCTCGCTCCAAATGGCTTTGATTTGCTGGATAATGATGATGATGATGATGATGCGTGTGTTCGTTCAGGCTCTGGTGGCCACGGAAACCCCGGGTCTGGGCTACATGGACCTGCTGAGGATGCTGACCGGTCCGGTTTACTCGCAGAGCACCGCTCTGCCGCACAAACAGGCCTACTGCTCCATCGCCAAGTGTGTGGCCGCCCTGACCCGGGCCTGTCCCGACGAGGGGCCGGCTGTGGTGGGACAGTTCATCCAGGTCAGCCGCCGCTTTCCTCGTCCTCAGGGAGCCACCATAAGTTCTCTGTTCAGGGTTTTGACATTTTTTATGTTGATTTTGTGAGAGCATTACAATATAGTGGTAGTTGCTTTCATGGAATATACAATCAGAATTATTTTGGTGTGTAATATACAAAGTTAAGTAAATTACATCGAACAATTTTGAACAAACTGGGGAAGATAGACTTACATGGAAAAGCAAAAATTCTGCTCAGGGTTTTAACAAATGTTTATAGCAGGTGAACACAAACGGAGAAACCAGTAACCAGCTGGACAGATGCTACAGATGTGTGTGGTTTTGAACCACACCAAGTCGACTGAGTCGAAACGAGAAAGAGTTTCTACTCTGGTTTGTAGAGAATACTAGGACGTATCTCTGCTGTAGCTTTTTAGATCAAATGAAAAGTCTTGAGGGAATTATTGGGGTGTCTAACTAAAGTAGTCTCTGGGTAGCCCAGCCTCCATGTTTCTGATGCATGGAGCAGTTTTTCAGGGTCCCTTTGGGAAAAGATGCTCTGGATTTTTGTAATATTACACAGCTCTGTAGTCAGACAGGTCTAAACATAAATGTGGAACCAGCAACAGAACAATTCTGCCTAAATAAGAACTAATAACATGCTTGCATTTCTAATTGTTTCACCAAACCATTTGTGGTTGGTTATGTGAGCCCAGGTCATCTGAGGTCTACATGTGACTGATTCAGTTTTATTTTTGACCTATGAATCTGATAAGACAGATAGTGTGTTCCTCTGGAGGAAATGGCACCTCTTTCATCTTTAGATGGTGATTGTTCCACTTCCTCTCTCAACACAAGGCCCGTGTGTGTTTTGAAGTCTTCGATTGAACTTGAAGGACCTCAGGGTGTGATCTTAACTCAGACTTTTCTTTGACAGGATGTGAAGAACAGCCGCTCCACAGACTCCATCAGGCTGCTGGCTCTGCTCTCTCTGGGGGAGGTCGGCCACCACGTGGACCTCAGCGGCCAGCCGGAGCTGAAGACGGTCATCCTGGAGGCTTTCTCCTCCTCCAGCGAAGAGGTGACAGCCAGGGGTTCCCAGAGGTTCTCCTTTAGGGATGTCCCCATCCAGCTTTTCGCTCCTCCGATCCGATCCCGATTCCGGCCTATCAGAACATGTGTTAAAGTTTAAAGTTATTTATCTACTTACTTATTTGTCAGACTCATGTTGAACAGGGATTTACTCTGATAACAACTTAATGGTTAGGACACAGACCTGTGGGTTACAGATGCTAATGCTAATGCTAATGATCGTGTGGGATCGGACTGGATCTGGAGTCTGGATCAGCATTTTCTCCTGCTGGCCGATACTCAGTTTTTTGCTAAAATTGGGACGAGCCTATTCTCCTTTGCCTTGTTGTTGTGTTTGAAGCCTTAAACTTGTCCTCCTGTTTGCGTCTCAGGTGAAGTCGGCGGCCTCTTATGCACTGGGCAGCATCGCCGTGGGCAACCTCCCCGAGTATCTGCCCTTCGTCCTGCAGGAGATCTCCTCCTCCAAGAGGCAGTACCTGCTGCTGCACTCGCTCAAGGAGATCATCAGTGAGACCAGCTCGCACTCTCTGGGAAGGAATCCCTGTGTGTGTGTGTGTTAGCTTTTAAGGCCTGTGTGTGTGTGTGTGTTTGTGTGTGTGTGTCCAGGCTCGGCGTCCGTGTCGGGGCTGAAGCCGTACGTGGAGTCGGTCTGGTCTCTGCTGCTGAAACACTGCGAGTGCCAGGAGGAGGGGACCCGGAACGTGGTGGCTGAATGTCTGGGCAAACTGACGCTGATCGACCCCGAAACCCTGCTGCCCCGCCTCAAAGGATACCTGCTGTCAGGTGACCAGAGCCGGCGCCGGCCAATGGGCAGCCTTTTGATTAGGTCATGTGACTAGCGGCTTTCTCAGGTGGAAACAAAACTTTATTGTCTATACGGAATGGGAAGACAAACAATGTCCTGACCCTAAACCTAACCCTAACCCTGACCCTAAACCTGACCCAAACCCTGACCCTAACCCTAATCTTAATCCTGACCCTAACCCTAATCCTAACCCTCCATCCTTCATAATTTTGAGAAATAACTATTTTTTTTGGTTAAACTTGTTTGGACTTATTGTACAAACCTATTTAACATCCACTATTTTAACATAATATTATGGATAGAGTTTAATTCAGTGTTTGCAAGATTAATTTCACTATTTTTAAATGAATGTCTATATTGCCATGAAGCAATTACCATTTTCTTGCCTGGGATCTTCCTATTGGTGACCTAACAATAATGGCCAACTTGGATGTGGGCGGAGTTGGATATCCATCCTTGGCCCCAGCTGGCAAACAGGATGGCCTTTGATCTTGGTGTGTCTCCCTGTAGGCTCGTCGTATGCCCGGAGCTCTGTGGTAACCGCTGTGAAGTTCACCATCTCCGACCAGCCGCAGCCCATCGACCCGCTGCTCAAGAACTGCATAGGTACTAGTCTTGTCCCGATCCGATGTTTGGACCGCATCGGCCGCCGATATTCGCAAAAAAATGCGTATCGGCCGGCAGGAGAAAATGCAGATCCAGACTCCAGATCCAGCTTTTAAGAATATCCAGTCTTGTCATTTTCCAGCACACCCTTTAGCATTAGCATTAGCATCTCCTAGCCCACAGCTCTGTGTCCTAACCATTAAGACGGCCATGTTAATTTGAAGCTATCTGTAAAAATGTCAGTTGTGTGGGATTATTTTATCCTTAAGGACAAAAAAGAGGAAGAGCTGGATATAAAACAGAGTTAATAAACTATTTTCTATTTAGGTTGTTTATGTTTTTTGCCTTTTTAATACAGTTTACAATATGATTTCCACTTTTTACCGTTCACTGATTCCATTTCCGTTTGTTATTTATAATTTAGTCAATTTTGTGTTTATCCCTGAATAAACAGGTCAGTGTCTCTTTACCAAATTGTGTATTATCAAACTCCCCTGATTCAGCTGGCTAGTTGTTATCAGAGTAAATCCCTGTTCAACACGGGTCTGACAACTAAGTAAGTAGGCTAAATAACCTGTCCCCATTGGCTGTTTGTTTTCTCTGCTCAGGTGATTTCCTGAAGACGCTGGAGGACCCGGACCTGAACGTGCGCCGTGTTGCCTTGGTAACGTTTAACTCTGCCGCTCACAACAAGCCCAGTCTGATCCGAGAGCTGCTGGACTCTGTCCTGCCACAACTCTACAACGAGACCAAAGTCAGGAAGGAGCTGATCCGAGAGGTGAGGGCGCCGGGACCGGGCCGCCGTCGGCAGGGGGGCGGGGCTTAAGCTGACCTTTGACCCGGCTGTGTGCAGGTGGAGATGGGACCATTCAAACACACGGTGGACGACGGGCTGGACTTGAGGAAGGCTGCGTTTGAGTGCATGTACACTCTGCTGGACAGCTGCCTGGACCGGATCGACATCTTCACCTTCCTGAACCACGTAGAGGACGGCCTGAAGGACCACTATGACATCAAGGTCCGCTCGGGGGGGTGTCCCCCATGTTAGGGCCCCCAAGTCCCCCATGTTAGGGCCCCCATGTCAGGTCCCCCATGTTAAACTGGGCTGTCCCCCATGTTAAACTGGGCTGTCCCC